TATATATATAATAAATAAATAATATATATATATATATATATATATATATATATATAGAGAGAGAGAGATATATATATATATATATATATATATATATATATGTATTTGTATATATGTATGCAGGGGTAGAAATTAACTTGTGAACAAGGGAGTCCAACGGACTCCCTGCCCTCAAAAAGAGGGAGTCCGCAGTCTTTAGTTCAAAACTAAAGATATTAACAATAACGCATGTGCTTATTTTTAAAATTCATGTGCTTGCACGTCCACCACATTTTCTTTGGACATTTGCTGAAAAAATACGGTAATTCCTCGAGGCCGTGCTCTGGAACAAACTAGTTACTAGTTAGTATAGCAGAATTTTCAGGGAGTCATATGGACTTCTACACATGTCAAATCAGAGAGTCCGACAGTAAATCAGGGAGTATTTGACTCCGGACTCGCGTTAATTTCGCACCCTGTGTATGTATGTATATAACATTATATAGATGATTACATGTGAGTGACGGACAAGGCCTAAAAAAAGACGTTTGTTTCCGCTAACCCGACCGACTCCATTTTAAACCGCCGTGTCGGAACTTTTTATTGTGATCGGCAACAACAACAAAATAAAAAATATAAAAAATCCCAACGTGATATGGATCGGTGAATGCATTGATTTGACTTTCAATCATTATATGGGCTGTAATAAGTCTAAAACAAGTATTGTTAGAATACAAAAAAAATAAAAAAGATTTGATAATAAAAAAGATTTGCCTGCCTACCGTGTCCAATTTTTTTCAGCTCGTTAGCGGAAACAAACATCTTTTTTTCTTAGGCCTAAGTGAGAATACCTGCTGCACAAACACTGCAGAGAATCCCATGTTCGTTAGCAGGAGATTAACGAGCTCGCGAACATGCCACTTGTTGTAAGCGTCCGGAACGATGAGCACAGCCCTGTAATGCTGCAGAAACGGACGCACAATCAGAAATGCGAACCCGCACCGCACACACATCATACACCAGAGTATTAGCAAGGATTGAGAAAGTCGAGCGAGTGAGTCTCGAACGAGTAAAACAATGTTTCTAGAAAATGGCGCACATCATAAATTTATTCACTAAAGCACACTGCCATTGGCCATCGGCACTACAAGTGACCATGTAGTGTAAAAATACTAGCTAAAACGGCTTGCTAGCAAATACGCTCCCACTGTACACTTGCACCGAACCATCCACGAACATGAGGAAATTGATTTAGCGAGTAAGTCACTGAGGCGGTGACAGAACCAGTGGATAACCTTTCCGTTTCACACCTTCAGGTCCTTTGGCGGAATCTCCAGGTATCCCTGTATCGCTCTGGTCCATATTGTCTCCAGGTCCGTTACAACGGAGGATATCGATCCACCGACGCCGGAATGCAAGTTCAGCTGACCCCGCCTCATCGGCCAATGAATGTTGTAGCCACTGTTCGGCTTTAGGTAGAGTGCCTGACGACAATAGTAACGGAGAATCGAAATCTAATAATCGATCGACGTGCAAGCCTCTCGGACATTGGATCTCGATCTATCAGCAATAGTTTGTGTTCGGTGCAGTTGTCCCCTGCGTAGTTTGTTGTTGTGAAGTAACTCCGGATAGCCGTACTACTAGCCTCTACACTACTACTAGCTATAGGCTATCGTACTGGTATCATTACTAAATCCGAAGCTATATCTTACCTCCTCGCCGACAATGACTTCAGGATTCTGCGGTGACGGGTTCACCCAGTGGACGCCGGAGTCCTCGTCAAGGATGCTTCGCTGCGAACGCAGGTTGAAGGCAATTGTCTGCACACGAGAGACAGGGAAAGAAACGCTGATAGAAATGTGCATCACTGAGCAAACGTGCAGCAAATGTGCTAAGAACGCTTTTACAGGATATAATATAATATAGTATTATAAATGCTCGAAGAAACACGAATGAACACTGCTGCTAAGAACCTCGTCAGATGTTCACGGGAAAATGTCGATTGTTTGACGTGAAACTACGGCTGCACACACTAATTATTACATTATCTAAAGGGACGAAGTCTGGCCCTTAGCTGCTCTCAGGCACTCCCAGTTTGATGCAGAACCCTGCCCACTAGTGACCGACAGGGCTTTGAGCGCCGTCTGGTCACTGACAGGGCTTTGAGCACCCTCTCATTATCAACAGTCATCTCACGTTACATGTTGACATATTCGGCAAGGCTTTGCCAGCGCACACCCGGCTGAATAGTTTTTGCTTGTATGGTATCCTGGAATTTACGTACATGTACCAGCACCACCTTAAATGCCAGACTGAGAGTGCCTGAAAGAACCTAAATGCCAGACTGCTTCTTAGATGGCAGACGGGTCTGCAGAGTGGAGTCACCTGTTCAGGGAGTGTCTGCTTCCAAGGAGAGCCGGTGTCAGTCTTACACGCCCACATCATGTCTTCTGCCAACTCTATGCCCTGATCTAGCAAACCTGGAGTCTTGTCCTGCAATGATATGAACGAACTGAGTGATGTCTCAGGTGTTTCCTTTTTAATATGGAAATACTGGCCTCAACACTTTCGTCCACGATCCTCGCAACTCCAGGCAAATCAGGAAAGTCTTTCCAGTGATGTCACATGTGTTATTATGCAGAGAACATAGCAGAGTGAGACAATTAATATTATGAGCTTGCAGTAGTTTCGGTGCGATCTCCTTGCGAATATCATTGATTTATCTTTAATAAATAAGGATATTAGTCGCAAATACAAATACATGTAACATTATGTACAACTTAAATTATTAATAGACAATTACAACCTGTAGATGGAGCCAGTAGTTAACCTCACAGTTATATATATACATGCTCCCTTGTAATAGGCACTTGCGAAACAGCCAGCCGGCACTCTGACCTAGAAGTGTGGCGAGGCTGTTCTGTTATATGCCTGACGCGACGTACGTGTGAACGGATAATGAAACAATATGTAACCCAATACTGTTGGTTATGTATTTGTAGTACATAATTTAATTAGTTTCTTACTTGACTGTCGACCCCTGGCAACATTGGGTCTTCGTAATGTGGCAGATCTGATCTCCTTTTCCGTCTGGCAATAACATGAGGAATGGTTACGGGGAGCACGTCCGACGCACGGCCCAGTCTGAGATAAGCCGACCCAGGATGAATCACCACGATTGTTGTCCCCTGAAAAGGCTGTAAGGAACCATAGTCATAGAGAAACTCACAATATAGTTTCACGGCTATATTATGCGTATATTTTATAAACGGGAGGTAACGGCACCGGGTTCTAGTGGTAGTACGGCACAGGTTACAAATACAATCAACAATGACAAACTGTCAAACGTAAACACGCAAATTGAAATATTGCTGACAATTGTGCATTACTTCTCCAGTGAAAGGCTCTGGAACTGTTGCAGAGTAAGGTCTTTTAGCAGGTGTTGGTGACATATCTGTACGTTAATTCTGTCAAGTACGCCAGTACGATCGTGAAAGCAATGGCGCACACTTTTCGTAATGCAAAAGCTACTTTCTCGTGGAGGCTTCCATATTTGCTTAGAAAGCCTGTTAAACGACGTGTGAGTGGTCGGTTTATGAAACCTGCTTCATGATTGGGTAAAATTGCCGGTGTACGATGGCGACCTCTATCTTCTCTCGCTATTCGATCTCCCGCCATTTGAGATTCGCCATTTGTTACCTTCGATGTTAGGTTACCGCGCTTTTGCGCGTTGTTGAATTTTGCTTAGCATTTCACTTGACAAAAAACACAGACATGTCTAACCCGTCGGTAGACAAGGAAGCCTTCCACAGGCGCATCAAGCGTCTGTACACACACTGGAAAAAGGCAGCAGACGATGATCCGTTTATGAAAATTGATGCGATGGTTGTTGCTGTTGGCGTGGACGAAGATATAGTGTACAGTAAGTCGACCTCGATCCAGACGTGGCTATTCGGCTACGAACTTACCGACATGATCATGGTTCTGTGCGAAGAGCAGATTCTGTTCCTGGCGAGCAAGAAAAAGGCTGAGTTCCTTAAACAGGTAAACACGGTATTGGAATGAAAACACTGAACACGTTGATATGGAAAGCTGGGCTAACGCTTCATTAGGAGTGTTCCCAACTTTGATATCATTATTGATTAATGATTAATGATTGATAATCCTAACCCTAACCCTAACCTAAATGACATTAAACCACAAACTAATATATGACCATGACCATATATATATATATGTTATTATGACCATTAATGTCGGACATTAAAGTTGGGAAAACTCCTAATGGAGTAATGGGTAATGGAGTAGGGTATCACCCGAAAGCCATCCCCTTCAAAAATCATTTTCAAACATTTCAAATACACAATTTTAAATCAATTTTAAACATTTCAAATTAATTAATAAAAATAGAAATTACTTTATATTGTACGAGAAATTTAAATTCAAAATTTAAAATTAATTTACATAATTAACAAATCAATTTATTAACTTGCAAATTAATTCACAACTTTCCAAAATAATTGCCTGATATACAAATTCTTTCACGCCATCATTGTAAAAATTTATTTTCAAAACAAACCAATTTACTAACTTGCAATTTAATTGAGAACATGTTGCATAAACTCACAGATGTTCAAATCTTGCTTCATTACCCTAACAATTGAAATTATAAGTTTTAAATTAATTTACAGAATAAGTTCAATAACGAATGCCACCACCGCTGGGATGAGGGCGACAGCCAAAACTCTTTCTTGGAATTGTGGAAAAAGCTGCAAATGGGTTATAATCTGCTTTGCCAATCAATTACATAATTTAACCTATGCATCAGGGGCCGTTTTGTACAGCCGCACGACTATTATACTTGGCAATAATCAGTGTTGTAGGTCTCGAGGCCGGTCTTGGCCTCGAGACCGTTTTCCTTGGTCTCAGTCTCGGTCTTGTCCTCGGAGTACAATGACTCGTACTCGCACTCGAGGACTCGGGTCGAGGCCGGCTCGAGGCCACTACATACATAGTACACAACTGTACATATTGTAACACGCAGTTTACAAGAATTTAAAACTAAAACTCGTAGATTTTCTAGATACACGGCCTAATCTTGTAACGTTTTCAATGGCTCGATTAAGATTCTTGTCCCTTTGGTTTGAATCTGCTGTCACTTCGTCCCTTTGCGCTTTTTCTACCACTTCGAAGGTACTAGCACTCTCATTTGGTTCAACAAGCCGTGTCATTCTCGTAAAACACAAATGGATCCGTTACTTTGACACGTTTCGTATGACTCGTGTCTCTGTGTTTTTGGCTGACTACACTTTCGAATGTCTACGATGCACTGTTCGGATTTTTTCCCTTTTTCCCCTTTTTTCCCTTTATTCCCTTTTCGGGGATTTTTTTCCTTTTTCAGATTTTTCCCTTTTTTTTTATCAAAACTGGACTCGGACTCGGGTGGTGTGGACTCGGACTCGGACTCGGGGGGGGGGGTGCGGACTCGGACTCGGACTCGGGGGGGGGGGGGTGCAGACTCGACTACAACACTGGGCCAATAATTAATTGGTATATGTGTAAAAATATTATTAGTCCAACAGAGGGGGTGGCTAGCCACCCAATCCCAATACTGGATACGCCACTGCTATGTAGGCCTACACGTTGAACAGCGCTACAGCCTACAGGTGCCCGTGCGCGAGTTAGGCTGTGTAACTAACAACAGCTAACCGGCCCAATAAGTGAATAACAGTTAAGAGTTAGCTAGCCCTTTTCAAATCCAGACTGAATCGTGTACAGTGGAACGAGCACAAATTCAGTACGTCTTGTTAGGAGCACACCACCTTTTTTGGCTTTATCTGTTGGGGTCAAAGGACCTCATGCAAGGACGCTAGGCAAATTGTACATGAAGGGTCCAAATAAGCTGTTAAATAATTAATACTAATACTATAAGTATAATAATAAATAATAAGCTGTTAATACACAGACCCATTATCAAGGTGATCAAGCCCATTGCTCAGCCACACGCGTCACTGTAGGACTGCGTAGACTGCTAGTATTGCTAATGGTAGTACTCCAATCACTAGACTTAGTCACTACGACAGTGACTAGTCACTAGATAATGGGGTTTTACTCACCTTGGTGTGAAAAGTCTAGACACAGATTAGCGAGTAGAACTTATTTATTCTACTCGCTATAATCTGTGGTCGGTGGTAGAAGTAGAATGTGGTGCTTGGCAACACCAAGGAGCTATATTATTATAACATATGTATAACTAGCTGCTGGTACCCGCTGCGCTGGGTAAAATCGTGCTACTAATTCATACTACTAATAATCGGACACAATAGGAACATTGGGTAATAATGGAGAATAACATTGCACACAATATCAATATTTACAAATCAGTCTAATAAGATAATAAGCATGGTAAAAAACGGTTACGTATGGCATTTATATCACAGCACAACCCAACGTAGAACCCCTGGAACATAATAATAATATTTTGTAAATGACAAAAGGTTATTATAACAGCATGTACGAATGGGTTGCACTTCTCATTTCAAAGCCTCTTGATAAACAATGCAGTCGTAACCTCTCAACTGGTCCTGGTTGTGCTCTGTTTTAGTATTGGTTTCGGTTTCACAATACCAGCAGCTGATGAGGTGAGGGAAATAAATACTGATCAATTTTTGTGTGTGTGGCAGCACTGTACAGTGAGTGCTGACATTGTGTGAAGTTTCAGGAATTGACGGATTTTTCGGTCAGTTTGACGTTTTGACGGATTTTTTTCGTCTAGGAACACTCCCCGGGTATAGGAAATCGCCCTCTGAAAATTGCATCCAGATCGCTTGGGCGGTTTGGCCGTCCATAGGGTACGATACATACATACATACATACATACATTCGAACTCAAATATAGATTAGAAAATATATCTCCTTGGGCAACACTGTCACTACACTGTAGTCTACAGCTGTAAACAAACACATGTATCTTTCCCGCAGGGTGGTAAAAATTGTATCCTCCAATTACGTACTACAATAGCGTATCCATCTGAGCTGAAGCATCCGGGCACTTTTAGAATGAACTAGCTGCGGG